AGTAGAAAATAGTAGTTCAGGAGTAGGACCTGCCCTTAGAGTCACTGAATACGGAGGCTGTGAGAAAAGAAAAGACATACCAACCCCAAAAAGATGGGAGGTGTAAGCAAGAAACCTTTCTAACCCCTCTTAGTTCATAGATTTTCTGAGACCTGACATCATCTCTAAAGAATTCATTATAACAATTCAAATAAATTTTAAAGCAGAGTCATAATCACTTATAAGAAATCACCTTTAAAAAATATATTCTGTATTAAATGGGCTAATAAATTATAGAAGAGGAACCAAATAAAGTATAGGAACTCTGGTGCAGATCCAAAAACCAAACTATACACACACAACTTATAGTTAAAAATAGGAGTGTCACCATTAAAATTTCTTTTAAAACTGGAAAGTGATTACTTTTTAATGGTATAATAATTATAAGTACTAGATTCACAAAATATGAAAAGACACTCTACAAATAAGTGACTATAATAATTTCCTAGAATGTATTCCAATTATTTAACCTTTTCTTAACCATGAATGTCTTGTTTTATGAGTTGAATTCCACTATTGTGAGGAAAACTGTCTCGGAGGAGTATTCTTTTTCTTACTTGAGAAAATAAAATTTCTGGACTTAGTCCTAAAATTAGGAATGGGAAAGGTGAATAAGATTTAAGGAAAAAAAATGAACACTTTTTAGTTTTAAAAAGAAAGTCTTTTTAAAATTTAATCTTAATACAATGTTAGTGAATTTCCAATGTCAGTGAACATTACTTTTAGGAGACTGAAGACACCAAATAGAAGTTTTTTTTTTTCTGTTTTAATTTGATATTTTAAAATGTTAAACCATATCAAATATAGCATATATTACTACAAAATACTATATAGTGTCTAGCATTTTTCTTTTGTAAAGAGGATACCATCAATTTTTCTTTAAGAGGTGGAGAAAGGGAATCATGTAACATCTAGCATTTGGACAGTGTTTTTCACATATACAATATGTGATGGTCATCAGTACTATTGCCAAACATTACTGATTTCTCTCCTTCCTGAAACACCAGAAGATTGCATCTCTTGGCTTTCTTTTATTTGTATGGGGCCATTCGACAACTTCTGGTCAATGAGTTGTGAGCAGAAGTCATACTGAGACCCTCCAATCTTGTCTTTTCCTCTGGCATGAAGATTCGCAATGTTCAAGGTGATATAGCTGCTCCATTGTCTGGACC